CTCCTCTCCTCTCCTCTCCTCTCTCTCCTCTCCCTCCTCTCCTCTCTCACCTCTCCCTCCTCTCCTCTCTCTCCTCACTTTGCTCACCTCTCTCTCCTCTCTCCTCTCCTCTGTTTGGGAAGTTTTTGTCCCTATTTATCTCTCCATGGACAAATCCCATCTATACACCATCTCCTTCACAAAGAATTTGATGATTCTGTTAACTGAAACCTTCTATCTGCAAAAAACCACTTGTGCCATTTTCCACTTTCCTCTTACACTGATTTGTGTATGTTGTAACTCTCTTCCTAAAACTGATGCTAGTGTTGGTAAAGCTTGTATCCCTGAAAATCTCAAATTTGGTTTTTCTAAACCTTAAGATGAAATAGATTTTCCACATTGGCTAAATCTACCCATAAATCTAGCTCTTTTTTCCCTTAAAGCAAAAACAAACAAACAAACAGAAATTGTCCCAAATCACTTCTAAATTATAAAAGAGCCTTTTAATTTTTTTTTTTTTAGGTGCAATGATGAAGAGTTTTTTCCTAGTTGTGAATATCGTTGCATTAGCCTTGCCATTTTTGGTGAGTTAATTTCATCTAATCAATTTGTAGTAAGATTTTAAGAAAATTTTATTTAAAAGTTCTAATTATGCAAATTTCTAAGTGCAGTTACACTTCATAGGACAAAATAACTGCATACTAGCTATAATTTTTAAAGCAACTTATTTTTTATTTATTTTACATTACAAAATTAAAGTCATGTTCTTCTGTATATGCTTTTAGCTCTCAGGAATTAAGAAATCACACTTTATTATTTATGAAAAACCCTTAAAATTCTCATACTATACAGAAAATACATTCTGGGGGAAAAAACAATAGTAGAAATATTTTTGGATTATAAAATGCTCTAAAAATAATTCCTAAAGAATAAATACATAAATCATAGTTCAGGATCAGAAATCCCTTTAATTAAATTCCTATCTTACACAGATCCATTTTCTTTAGGGACTAAATCCTTAAAACTTTAGGAGTTTGGTTAAAGATTTTCTACCAGTATCAAAAACCTTGACACATCTACATTTAATATTCAAACATCATTGTGTCTTTTGTTATACTCTTCCCATTAATGTCAACTGACTCCTCCCCAGGAATAGTATTCAATTCTATGGTTTGCAGGAATTTTCTTGAATTGCATGCTGTATGTTAAAGCTATAGGACCAAGGAAAAAGGTTTGGCTTTTTTCTTTTGATTTTTTTTTTACTTGCTTTCATTGTTGTTTTGGCTTTTGCTCTGTTTCATTTTCATGTTCATTCAGGGATCCCTTGCCAATAGCAAGAGCAAGAAGACAAACAGAAGATGTTATATGATCATCTCTTAAGTTATAAATTTTAGAAGACACTAGTCCTTGTTTCATAATTCATTTGTTACTAAACTTGCTTTTAAGTTTATATCTATTAAATAATTCTATTAGGTAAATTCTTAGAGTCAAACTCTTTAAAAATTTGCATTATTATGACTTTACATTTATTTTCTTTCATTTATTCTTTGAAATTCCATTTTATTGTGGCCACCAGAACATTCCAAACTTGGATTGTCTCTTTGAGGAGCAGGGATTAAAATTTAAATAAGAAAATTCTTATTTTAGGTTCCTGGACAGAATTCCAATATGTGTTGGGCGGCGGGGGTGGGGGGGGTTCCTCACACACCACCAGGTAATTTTTGGATACCACCAGAGTGTTGAAAAATTCAACTCAATTCTGACATTATCTTGCCAGAGATAGGGTCAAATTCCACAGGTTAAGGGTTCAGACCTACAATACCTCCCACTTCAGACACTAGTTGCAAGCCCAGGCTGTTACCTGTAGTTCTGAAGACTGGCTATAGATGGGAAGTTCCCACAACCTCTTCCTTGGGTTTGGTTAATTAGCTAGAGTAGCTTACAGAACTCAGGAAATGTTTTACTTACTAGATTACCAGTTTATCATAAATTGATATAACTCAGAAACAGTCAGATGGAAGAGATGCATAGGGTAAGGTATGTGGGAAGAGGGGCATAGCTCCCATGCCCTCTCCAGGAATGTCTCTCTCCCCAAATGTCCATGTGTTCACCAAACCGGAAGTTCTCCCAGCTCATCTTTTTGGGCTTTTATGGAGGCTTCATTACATAGGGATGAATTACCGACCACTGGTAACCAATTCAACCTTCAGTCCCTTTCCTGTCCCTGGAGGATCAGGGGGTAGGACTGAAAGTCCCAACCTTCAAATCAAGTGGTTGGTTTCTCTGGCAACCAGCCCCCATCCTTAGGTGGGGTCCAAATAACATAATAAAAGATAATTTTAACATTTAACCTAGGAAATTATAAGGGTTTTAGGAGAACTGTGCCAGAAACTAGAATGAAGACCAAATATGTATTTCTTATTATAAATCGCAATATCACATGATCCACAACTGCCTGCTCTATGGCAACCTCTTCCTGAGCAACTTAAGCAACTAGATCCCAAACACTCCTTCCCATTTTCACAAAGGCTTCAAGTTCCAGGGACATGAACAAATAATTCAAAAGAAGAATAAAAGTTTATAGATTTACCATTCAATCTTATGTCAAAATTATACATATATTGTGATTGTATTTTTTAGGTGTTAATTTATCCCTTCTCTCTAAATAGAGTCAGGATAATATTTACTACTAACAATTATGTGATGAATTGCACACTCTTATAGCCTATTGGTGGCATTATAAGTTGGCACAACTTTTCTGTACAGCAATCCAATAATTCCTATCAAATAATTTTTGTCCCCCCAAAAGTTACATTTTTTAAAAACTATCTTAAGGAATCTATGAAAACTACTAAAAAGGACACTGGTATACAGTTGTTATTCATCTATCTATTTATAATAAAACAGCTTTTTTGAAAGAAGCTTAATGGTTAGCAATAAAGAATAAACAGTTCATGACATAATCATTAAGCATTCATTTTTCAATTATAAATATCCATGTATAAAAACTATGAGATAAATTGAAAATTAATATGAGATCATGCTTCTTGAAAAAAAGCAAGATATAAGAAATGCACTAAAATGAACATATACCAGAAACATATGTACAAATTGATATTATATGAAGATGTCTAGAAGAATTTTTGAGTGTAGGCAAACTTTCTATAATATTTCTATGACTTTTTAAATTTTAAATTAGTAATATAATGCATTTAGAGCAAAGAATTCTCTTAACATATCCTGAATTTTATTATTTTATCAAATTTCTGATTTTCTCCACCTACATCTTCCAAAAGGTTTCTAGAGTCTTTTTATACCCAAAGGGTATGTGTGAAAAGTCCTGAACTAGATCTATCACTTAAAAAATATCACTTGTTATTGATGTAGTAAAGACATTAGGGTTCGAACCCTACGGCCAAGAGAGAATTCTTGAGATGTCTTTAGTGCAAAAAGATGGTTTTATTAAAGCACAGGGGCAGGACCCGTGGGCAGAAAGAACTGCACTGGGGTCATGAGGAGTGGCCCATTATATACTTCCAAGTTGAGAGGGGGTTAGAGATAGTGTAAGTTTATAAGGAATTTTGGAAGCAAGGTTTCCAGGATCTTGAGGGGGCCAGCTATTGTTGGGAAAAGGTCATTACTGTCTAATAAAACCTTAGTCATGAGACCCTTCAGATGTATATCGGTGGGTCATATGCTTGGGGGATGATTGCCAACATGTATCTTGGGGGGTAAAGATAAAGGCAGTTTCCAAAGGAATTTTTATATGTTAAAGTAGACATATAGGATCCTGAGGGTCAGGCTAAGATTGCCTTTTGCCCTTAGCAAAGTGTCAACACTGAGGCAGTTGAGTCCCTAGAGGAATGTCACTCTGCTTGTTTCAAGGACTTGTCAATGGGCTGTAAGTAGTAAGGAAATTTAATAATTTTTCTTTTCCTTTTGTTTTCCACATCATTATGACCTCATCTCAATGTACATTCAAAAAACAAACAAAAAACCCGATGTACATTCAATACAAACTGAATATAGGTTATTCATATTTTTCATTGAAGCAAATATCATGTATACTTGTTGGCATAGGAGTCAGATGATCATATTATTTTCAACCTTAAATTCTTCTCCCCAGTGGTGATTTTAAAGATTTTAAATAGTTTACTGCTGTCACTTCTTGAGTGGTTCACAGGCCTTATAGATTAAATAACCATGGAGAATGCTTTACAATATTTTACAATATTAAAATAAAAACAAAGAAACCATGTTTTGTCTTTAGTACAAAATATTTTTAAAACCACAAAAAAAATCTGGACTCTACCCAATGCTTTTTTTTTTTAACTTATTTCTTATTTCTGTGAACCTCAGCAGGGTGCAGAGGTGCAAAACCAGGAACAGCCACCTGTAAGTTTATTTTCATTATTTCTAGTAGAGACATGAACTTTAAAGTATAATATTATGCAAAGTTCAATGATATTTAAATGCCTTGTCTAAAAATTAATAAATAAACCCCATAAAATAATCTAATAATCTTTGAAAAAAAAACCACTTTAGCAGCCAATCATACGAATCAACCTCAATATTCATCTGAAAATCTTGGATTCTTTTTATAACCCAAGTCATGTGTTTTGGGTTTTCAGGTATATTTTGCAGCATGAGAAAACTGTCTCAGAGTTTAATATTGAGAATAAAGGAAAACAAATGTAAGGTCTAGTATCTCTCCTGACTGAAGACTTGGGGAAAGTTTGCTCTCTGACCCACCTTTGAATACTTCTCATACATTTGCATTTACTTCCTCTTTTTGTTCCCCAAATATGTTTGAATGAACACATTTAAATACGTCTCCTTTCATAAGAAATACTTGCTTTGCAGTGTAATTTTGTTGCTTTGTTCTACTCATATGGAAAGATCTAATGACATATTTTTATAAATGCACATAAGCAACAGAGACAAGTAAAAATGGGAAATTACCTAACTGATCTTTAATGAATAAAATGAAGCTGAAAAGAATCCAAAGTATAAATCCAGGAATCCTCCCACATCACATTATTTTACTATTCTACTATAATTAATTTAGAAAAAAAAATGTGCCCTCAGCCTAGTGTCTAGATAAATAAAATTTGTAAACATTTACAAATATGTGGTAAGAATACATATATACATATACACAAATATATGAAAATATTTATATACCCACATATATTCCTGTGTGTGTGCTAAGTTTGTACACAGTATGTCAAAGCTCTCTATGAGATTTTTCTAGCTATTGTACTTATTATAATGTCCCACATTTACTGAGTGCTTTTCATCTATGCCAAGACCTAGGCAACGTGGTTTTACATTATGTATTACTTCATCTAATTTGTTTGAAACTAATATTATTTTTAATATTTGTTGAAAATCAAAAAGTAGAAGGGAAGTGTACAAATCTGTATCATAAAATAATATGGTTGCTGAGTTCACTATTTCCAATATTGTAGTTATTCAATGTCAAACACTAAAATATATACTTTAAAAAGTTCTGATTTAAGATATCTCTACATTCTAGCCTACAATAATACCATGTCCATAACGTATTCCTTTTACAGTGCCGTGAAAATGATGAAAGACCATTCAATCAGAAAACTGCCAAGTATATCCCATTTCATTATGTGCTGAATAACTATCCTCGCTATGAACACACTTACTACCCACATAGACCAGCTGTACCAATTAATCATCAATATGTGCCTTATCCATATTATGCAAAACTAGTTGTATTTAGGCCACATGCCCAAATTCCTCAATGGCAAGTCCTGCCAAATGCCTACCCACCCACCGTGGTACATCGCCCACACCTTCATCCATCATTTATTGCCATCCCTGCAAAGAAAATTCAGGATAAGACAGGCATCCCTACCATCAATACCATTGCTACTGCTGAGCCTACACTTATTCCTACCACTGAACCAAGAGTGGACACTGTAGTCACTTCAGAGGCTTTCTCAGAATACACCATCACAAGCACACCTGAGACTACCACAGTTCCCGTTACTTCACCTATAGTCTAAAAACTCTGAGGAAACATCAAAAACAACACAGGTAAGTGAGCAAAAGACAAAAATAAATAGTACAGACAAGATTCATGAATTTATCGGTACAATCATAATACTTAAACTAGTATAATAGATAAATTAAGCCTGTTATAAGAGCAGGCAAAATGGGTTCATTATAATTTTAATTTGATAGTGCCATAGCATTGATATACTAGATTCTGTTCCAATAAGAAATGAAATATCTTATTTTACAAAATGCAGAAAAATTGGAGATGTTATTATCAAACCTTATTTCAACAATCAGAACACTCCTCAAATCTACCAGTTTTATTTCATTCCTATTTATACACACAGAAAGTAGAGTGAAATACTGTTAAACTTGTGATTTTTCTTATCTCAAAAATAAATGTTCTGAGAACATTTATATAGAATATGAGTTTAAATATATTTTAAACATTTAACTGTGTTCTTGCACTCTAATTTTGCCCTGAATCGAGCAAAAGGAAATATATTTCCCAAGCATTTCTTTATTTCAGACATCAGTTCTGAAAGGATCCGTGAAGTTTAAGCACTCAAAATTTCTTGTATTCTAAGATGAACCCATGGAAGAATTGTAATTCTTAATTTTAAAAGCACATACATACTAAAAGAATACTTTCAGAATCTTTTTTAAAATACTTTCAGAACCTTAAATGTGATGCCAACACTTCCATTTATTATTTGGATCAATGAAAAATGGCAGAGTCTAAAATAACTTGAAACTTATGGAAAGAAATTAAAGGGAAAGATCAATAAAATAGAAAATTTTGAGTTTCTTTGCAATAAATATTTTCAGCACATCAACCTGTCTATATATTATATATCTGAAATACAACACAGTGACCTGTGATACAAGAGGAATAGCATTAGACCAGTGTTAGACCAGAGGGCTATTTCTTCCATCTTGTGACTTTAGACAAGTCATTACTCTTTCTGAACTTTCATTTTCTCATAATTTTGGTTTCTATAAAGTGACAATGCATATTGTGAAAAGATTGTAAAAACTGATCAGTCTGCCAACTGTATTAGAAAAATAAAATCAGTAAATGCTAAAATTTACTTTTAAAAAATACCCTGTCCTTACTAAATGATAAAAACTTTATATAGTTATCTCAGATTATTCCTATAGCAACCATATGGAACAGATTATATTACTATCTTCAATTCACAAAAGAAAAATAACAAGCCCATGAATCTTAAGTAAATTACCACAGCTCAGAAGTTCAAAACTGGGAACCAAACCAGTCTGGTTTGGTTGGTTGTCTGGTTTCAGATAGTAAAATGTAATTACTCTGCTATCTATTTCTATACGGACTGTCTAATATACAGAAAAACAGAAAATTCACTATGTTTTCCTTAGATCAATGTATCTATAAATTGTATTATTTAGTTGCTCTTTAATAGGACATATGGTAGGAAAAAGAAGATAAGATGCTGGGTAAACTTTGGACTTATTAAAATTTGGAAAACAAAATGAGAAAATTAATGGACACAACATGAAAACAAGTAGTACAGTTATATATTGTATTGATTCAAAATGTTACATGATTATGTTTTTAATGAAATAATAATTATCTCAATAGCTACAATTGTTCAAAATTCATGAACCTAGATTTCTAAGTTAAAACCAGTATATAATATTACTTATAAAGAAGCATGTTAAGGACATTATTTTGGTGTAAATATTAGATGAAGTCAATTATTTTCAGTTACTATAAGCCAATTTTAAATATTTAAATTTAAATATTTAATTTGATAAAATCCTTGGATACGGACATAAGAGACAAATCATTTAAGCTAAATAAAATTGTACATGAGAACTGTTAGCATACTATGAACTAAATTCCTAAACTGTCATCATTTTTTATAGGTCTTGATGAAGCTAAATGACTACTCTAAACTCTCCTTTGGTCACTCATCTACATTCATTCAAGAGAGAATGTGATTTTGATGGATTTGGCTCCTTTCTCTTCTCCCTTCACATTTTACGTCCATATCACATTTAATTTTTTGTTTCTTGCACAATAAAGCCATTTAAATGCAAGTGGATCTCTTAATTGAGGAGTCTGTAGATATACCTCAAGGATCTCTGAAACCTTGTCACTTCAAAGCAAATTTAGTGTGAGTTTCAGTAAACAAGTTTATCTGGGGGCAAAGTTCATAATGTTATCCAATTCTCAAAGTGGTCCTCGGTCTAACAGTGATTAAGTACGTCTTCTCCAGGATGACACTGAACATCTAAACTTACAACTAAGTCATTGGAACCAGAAAAGAACTAAGCTATGATGTTTCAATCCCAGGGACCACAAAGTGACTCTTGAGAGCCCTGGAAACTCTGGAGTTAACATAAAATTTAAGTGCTAATGTTAAATCATTCCTGGGAGGAAATTCTGGGCACAGGCAAGCTACAGATGACCACAACTACAAACACACATACATGGCAAAATTACAGAAGTTGATGGAGACTAGACCTGCATGACCAGATTCCTCCAGACTGGAAGCTATGGTCTCACATCTGTCCAAACATAAACATGAGCATGCGCATGTATGTACACACACACACACACACACACACACACACACACCAGGAAGTTTCTGGAATTAAGGTCTTCCAGTCTACAAACACTGGTGAATAAAGTCCAAAAATAGGGTTTTCCCTTAAACACATATTACAAGGTAAATAAATGGGTTGTTTATGTGCTTGCTCCATATTTAACACATCCTGCCAGAGAAAATACAAATCACTCAACCCCTACAAATTGCTTACCTGTCACCCATCTAATCTTTTGCTGAAATTCTCAACAGATGTGCTATTATTAGGAATGATCTGTAGCCTTTCACCAGCTCTCTCATTCAAATTTTAGAGTCTGGAAGAAAGGCATAGTCAGGAGCATGGTATGGCTGAGCCTTATTTGCCGTGACCATTAATAACTATTAATTTCTTAAAAAACAAAGTAAAAAGGGCATCTGGGTGGCTTAGTCATTAAGCGTCTGCTTTCAGTTCAGGTCATGATCCCAGAGTCCTGGGATTGAGCCCCACATTGTGCTCCCTGCTCAGCCGGAAGACTGCTTCTCCCCCTTCCACTCCCCCTGCTTGTGTTCCCTCTCTCACTGTGTTTCTCTTTGTCAAATAAATAAATAAAATCTTAAAAAAAAAAACAAAGTAAAAATGTGGAAGAGGTAGAATTTATTTTATTAATTTAACAAAAAACATTGATCACCAAATAGGTACAAAGTACTATAAGAATTATTGTGGGGCATTTAACAATAATGATATTTAATAATAATATGGAATCAACAGTTATACAATATATACTATAGGCCAGTCAATCTTCTATTTGTTTACACATATTTAGTCATTTCATATGTGCCCATGGACTACGTGTTGTTGTTGCTGCTGCTGCTGTTGTTATGCGAGAGAAATGAATAATTTTCCCCAAATGGGGCTGGGATTTGAATCCACATAGTTTTGCTTTTTCTTCTTTTTTTTAAAGAGAGAGAGAAAACAAGAGAAAGGGGAAGGGGGGATGGGGAAGGGGCAAAGGCAGAGGGAGAGAGAGAACCTTAAGCAGGCTCCACATCCAGTGCAGAGTCTGACACAGGGCTCAATCTCACGACCCTGAGATCATGACCTGAGTTGAAATTAAGAGCTGGATGATTAACCAACTGAGCCACCCAGGCGCCCCACAGATAGTTTTGCTTTAAAGTCCATGCTCTTAACCATGTGAACACTACTATAAAGCATTTCCAGTCTGGTAGATGAAATAAAATACGAAGCAAACTACTTTAAAATAAAAAAATCTTATATATAAAGCATTTTTGCATATATTAATCTTCACCAACAACCTCCTGAAATAATTTGTTACTGCTCTTCATTTTCTGTATGTGAAAACAACTTCAAAGCAGACATAAGATAATAAAAAATTTATGGGCTTTAGATTAGGATAAACCTCAAAGTTTTAGCTCAAAATTATCCTTACCATGTGATCTTGAGCAATAAATCGAATGGAAAGTAATATTTTTTATTTAATTGATATATGTGTCAGGCTCTGTAACAAGGCTTTTACAGGTATTACTTTATTCCACACGTAGTACTCTGTTAGGTACTATTATTATGCTCATATATAAATGAGGAAACTGAGGCTCAGAGAGATTAAGTAATTAAGTAATTAAGTACACAAGATCGTAAACCACTAAGCGGTAGAGCTTAGCTTTGAACTCTAGCAATTCAATCCACCAGCCTTCATTATCTTACTACTAGGACATACAACCTTTAATCAGAGATATTCATTAAGGTACCCTGTATCAACTGGGCATTTAGTCAATGTTCATTCCTTTATCCCTAAATTCACTAAGTAACATTTCCAAGGACATCCACTGCCCACAAGATAAAGTCAACTTTCATGATTTTGCTATTACCTTTCCACATCATCTCTCTCCTTTACATCCGCACACCATACACTCCAGGAACTCAAAACCTCCTGCGGCTGCTTTAGCAGTAACAGCACCAGTGCTTCTCTGAAACTGTTCAAGTTCTTCTGATAATTCATATCACATAATCAAAATCTGACTCCTTGACTTAGATATCACATTCCAATTTTTAAAAGATTTATTTATTTATTTTAGGGAGAGTGGGGGGTGGGAGGGACAGAGAGAGAGAGAATCTCAAGTAGACTTCCCATTGAGTGCAGAGCCCACACGTGGTTCAGTCTCACGACACCAAGACCATGTCCTGAGCCAAAATCAAGAGTTGGGACACTTAACCAACTGAGCCAGCCAGGTGCCCATTGGATATCACATTCTTAAGAAAACCTTTCCTGAACTTCCAAGATCAAATGATCCACTAATGTACTACCATACCATCCAGCCCCTGCCATTTCTTTCCCCCTTAGGACTCATCGAACTCTGTTTCACCTGCCTGTCTACTTTTCCTGCTGGCCTATGAGCCCTCTGAACATAGGAACTATATTCTGCCC